ATATAGAAATAGTATACTGTGAGTTCAAGCCTAATTAATTTAAAGATTTTTACAATTCAAACAATTTCTTTGAAATTCATAATCCAATATTTAATTTTAAATTATCATTTTGATATTTATACAACTCTAGTTGCATCATCAAAATATATAAAAGAAACTATAGTATAAATAAAAAAGCAAATTTTAAAGAAAGATATTATTTTATTAATTTAAACAATATTTTGATCAACTGCAATAGCTGTCCATTAAAAACATATTCTATTGGCTTTTATACATTGTTTTTACAAGTTCTATAGCATTTTTATTATAAGTTGTTTTTAATATTAACAGTCCAATCAAATATTACTTATGCAATATGATTAATAAACTGTCTATTATATCACAACAAGAAGAAAATATTTCTCAATCTATTGATAATTTCATCATCTTTTCTTCTATTTTGATATTTCAAAAAATTAGTTTTTGCCAACAGTACTATCTTCAACTTTATTAAAACAAGATCTTTATAAATAATACAAAAATTGTTTCAATCAATCCAAGATACTCCTTAAAAGATTTTCTTTATATAATAATGAATATTCTATATTAGTGCCTGTCAAATTATATTATGAAAATAAGAAACAATAAGAAAATTCTTCAAGAAGAATAACAAAAATTAATTTCATTCCAATAATACTAAAAATTAATAAACTAATATAAGATAAATCAATTCAGATTAAATATATTAGTTTCAAGTCTAACTCAAAATTTGATAATATTTTTCAATAGATCAGTTTATTACTTTACTTTCTAAAAATTTATTAATCAACAATTTACAGTTAGATAATAGTATTAAATGTTGCAAAAAAATCCTAAACATTATTAAAACCTATAATTTGTAAAAGCTTTTCAGTTCTAAAATATTCAGATATACTTATAAACTTTATAGCCTCAAAATTATTAACAAATCTAACAAAAATATAAAAGACTTAAAAGTCAATAAATATAGTAATTTTATTATTTTTAGAGTTAAGTTACTTTCAGAAATATTTTCTATAAGAAAAAATCTTTACAAATTATATTTAGACCAATATTCAAATTTATACTATTCCAAGTGTAGCCTATGTATTGAAGACATTCAATATGTCATCAAATATCTATTAGTATCAAAAAATATTATCTAGTTTATTAATATTATTAATAATATTTTTTATCTTAATAATAAATATAAACTAATTACACATACCTGATAGTTAATAGAGCTGGCATATAACATTAACAATATCTTTTTTATAATTAATTTCTTCAACTGGATTAAAACATCAACTGAAACTCTAATCTGCCTATACAAATTAATTTGAATACCTTGTTATGTTACAAAAAATATTTCTTTTTTTATTGATATCAAATGAAACAATAATCTTTACAATAATATAACAAATTAACTACAAAGAACATAATTAAATCCAAATTATTTAACAACTTTCTCTTTATATTAATATTAATTATTATAAATTTATTAATATTAGTTATAGACTTATATATTCAAAATAGATTTAACTTTACTAAATATATATTTAAACTAATTTTAGACTATCTTAATTTTTTTTTATCCAATGCTAAATAGGTAATTATAATTGCTTAAAGTCTTTTGACAAGATATATTGTTTTAAAAATTTTTTTTAACATTAGTTTAATAATTATTATAGACAAGCTAGTATTTAACTTATTATACTATTATATATAAGAGATGTTGTTTCTTTCACAATTTATTTCCAATATTATATAAATTAAATAAAAAAATAATAATTATTTAAAAAAAAACAAATAAATAGTATCATTAAAATATTTCTTCTTAAAATAAAGATAAAAATAGTATATAAGATTATTTTTATATAAACAACTATACAAAAAACTTGTTTGAATTAATAAGAACAATATTAAGAAAAGCATAAATTAAATCTAAAAATTTAATTTTAAAAAAAAAGTTTTTAAGAATACATGATTTGTTTATTCTTAAAATTTTTTTAAATTATTAAAAATAAAATTTTTAAAAAATTTGTTATATTTAAAAATAATTTTTTTATTTATAACAATATTTAAATATTAATAAATAATTTTTTTAACAAATTTATTTATTTATTTTAAATTATATACTTAATATTTGAATAAATAAAAATATAACTATATTATACTATATATTATATATAATATAATTAATCCACATCTAAAATATAAATATAAATTAAACTTCAAATTTGATTAATTAAATATATATTAGAATAAGTTTGGTTATTTTAAAATAAATCTATAATAAATTTTTATTGATACATTTATTTTTTATAACTGTTATAATAAAAGTTTTTATAGTCTTTTTTAAAAACAATAGAGATAAGAATTATCTTATATGTTATTAAAAAAATTAAAAATATTGTTATTTTGTATTATCCATGAAATAAGATATTGCAAATTGCTACTTTTTCAAATCTAAAAACATATTTGTAAAAGTTAAAGCCTTATTTATTTTTTGGTAATGTCTGATATGTAATAAATAATAGATTTGATTTAATGACAGACTTATTATATATAAAATAGTACTTATAAATTAAAGAAAATTTGAATTTGAATTTTATTACTTATAAAATTTCATAAAGAAAAATGAAAAAATGAATTACAGTATATTTTTATTATCTTTATATGGGTTTACAAAAAAAAATAATATCTAAAAAAATTTTGAAAATAATAAATTTATATTTCATTATCTTAATAGTTTTATAAAATAATTAACAAAAATTTCAAAATACAATACATACTGCATACTCAGTCGACTCAGTTGTCGATAGTCAATCAGTCAACCGTTTAGCTGATTACTATTGTAAGAGGTAAAATTAAACAGTCCATAGTCACGTGACAGATTTTGACCGGAGTGTAATGATTGATTAATGACGAACCGTTTATCTTAAGTGTTCTAAAGATTTCGATCTTTTTCTTTTACTCTCTAAAAACGTCCACCTATATGTCTAAATATGTATAAAAAGATCAAAAAAGTATCTTACAAAGACAGAGAATTCGGTCAAGTCAAATCTTCCGCCTCCTTTGAGTTTTAATTGTCAAAATAAAGTGACGGTTACGCAAATTAGCGACAGACTCGCCGATAGCCCGTCACACTATGGTCAGTCCTGAGTGGTAACATCAGTTGATAGCACTGCATGATTTTTTATTGTCAAAATAAAGTGACGGTTACGCAAATTAGCGACAGACTCGCCGATAGCCCGTCACGCTATGGTCAGTCCCGAGTGGTAACATCAGTTGATAGCACTGCATGGTTTTTCTTTTTAATACCGTAAGTCGTACAAGCATAGAAGAAAAAAAAGATTTTTTTTTCTTTCATCGTCAACTTATATGGTAAGATTGGTAGATTGATCATGCATTAATTCTATTTCCCTTATTTATTTATCGAACTCCTTTGTCGAATGTTCTTTTATTTTTAAAGGCAATGGATGGATTCCTTTATATATGCAGCGCGACTTTGACAGGCAGTCAACTCACAGGGGATAACTTTTTTTTTTTAAATACGTTGAAATATTGAATTTATTATTATACGATAACAACATTTTCAGGTGTGCTTTCAAGCCATCTGTACTGGGATACTGCATAAATATGGTAATGACAATATTTTCTATTGATCATAAACGGTAACCAATGATGTAATGAGAGGAAAATTGTTGATATTCCTGGATTATTGGTACATTTTTGGATGTTCAATAATTCTAATTCCGACCGCTCAGCTGTGTGGCTGAGAAATTGTCCGGATAATCATTCAAATAAACGAACAACTTGGGATAGCGACAAAAATAACTAGAAAGAACCAACAAAACTCACCCTTTATGATTACAGCCCAAGAAGATGACCCTAATAAAAAAAAAAAAAATTCAAACAAAGTACTGTATAGCAATGTGATACAATACCTCATATTAAAAAGGTTCGAAATCCGAAATTGCAAATTATCCGTTGGGTTCGGACTGAATCTCGGATTGACCGGACCTATTCGAACGGTTTCCTAATTATAGTAAACGTAAAGCATAGTCCGAACAAGTGATATATCATATACCGAGATTATACAAAAATCCGCCTTACCTATGTCTGTAACATGTTTCCCAATGGTGGCTATTGGTTTCAAAATGTTAGTGATCGGCCTCATTCCATGACAAAAAAATCTTTCTTTCTTTCATGGCCTACCTAGGTAGAGATTAAGAGATAACCGGAATAACAACGCCGAACTGTGCACTAATTATTCGATTGGTAGGTTGGCTTGCCAAGATTAGTACTGGCCACTGGTATTACTATTTATCCGACCCTCGTTGTATTTCCGTTTTTGCTTTCTACGGCAACAGCTCGCTCTGGACACTAAATGAATTTTTTCTTCACAGAAACCCTCGAATGATGTTAATTTTGCGCTTGCATAAATAAGCAATTTTAAATTCCGCCTTAAAATAATTTAATATTTGCAAAAATTATTAATATAGGTTTATTTAACAAGAAGAATCACTTTGTTCAAGTTTAAAAAAAATTTTGATCAAAACCTTACGCATTGATAATATTGTGAGAAAGGATGAAATTGATGATATCCATCACATTATGTTCCTGCAAAGGTATCATGTAAACACAGCCTCGTTGTGAGGATATACGTATTCTGACATTGTCTTTTATGGTAATTTGGCCCGAGAAATCAGGCATTCATGGTACACACGTGGTTAGAACATCCCTATTGTGACCACTCGTCACCAAACATACATACCCATGAATACTATTTTTCCGCCAATTTCGTGCAACTATCGTGACTATATATTCTCCAGATCAACTGTTGTCTACTTTCAGGTTATCTCTCGTGCAGCGACAATTTCAAACTCACCTAAGGTTCAAAATTCTATTTCCACAATCAATTAGTCGCTATTTATACGTTATATCACTTATTGATCCCTCTTTGCCATTCTTTGGTTAAGATTATGATATCGAATAAAATGTCGACTAGAAAACACGCGACCAGAGCGTGCGACAGTTGCAGAGCTGCACGAAAAAGGTGTGAATATGTCATCCACCTAGGTTGTTGCAAGAGGTGCTACGAGAAGAAATGTTGTACCTTTTCTTCGACAACCAAAAAGCGTGGCCGCAAAAAGATACCTTTTTATGAAAAACCCAGCGGAGACCCTATGATTGACGCTTACACTTGTACCGAGGTTTAACCAAACACCTCGACTTTAACCACCCTCTCGATAGTTGAGCACATTTCGATTTTAAACATTCAATCAAACGTTTCGATTTTAAACACCCTCTCGACATTTGGGCACATTTCGATTTTAAACACCTTCTCGATATTTGAGCACACTTCGATTTTAAACATTTTACCGAATCAAGCATCCCGATTTTAAACACCCCCCCGATATTTGGGCACACTTCGATTTTAAATCTTACCGATATTCAATATAATCCTCCCGATACTTGGCCGCATTTTGATACAATCATTTTACCAATATTTAAGAAAACACTTCGAGTTATAGACTTCTTACCGATATCTACATTTAGTAGACATTTTGCATTATGGATATTTTAAGGACACTTAGAAAACATTTGTATTATATGCATCATACCAACATTTTTTATTATAGACATTTGCATTATAGACATCTTACTGACATTTGGCATTATAGACAATATTAGACATCTTACCGATATTAGGCAAACATTTCGCATTGTAGACATAGATATTAGGCAAACATTTCGCACCAACATTTAGCCAACGTTTGGCATTTTCGACATCTCGCTGGCACTTAAAAACATTGTATTATAATCATTTATTAAACATTTCGCATAAGAGACACATTACCAATATTTAGCAAACATTTCTCATCTTACCAACATTTAGCAAACATTTGCATTACGGAAATCTTACATTTCGAATTGAAAATCTTTAATAAAAATGTTAGACATTTATTGACGAATAAATTTTCGGATCATAATCAATTCCTTAAGTAATCTTATATGTGTTTGAGTGATCAAAACTTTGTGAGTTAATGCTATTCAAATAAAGGATAAAAATATTATGGGGAGCGAAGTGTAACAACAAGCAGATTGTTAATTTTGATTAGTTATAAATGTTTTTGGAGGCTGGCGTCATGAAAAATCATGGAGTATCAACAAAGGCTAGTTGCAAAAAAAGAACAAATACTGTACACATGCAAAATATTATTGAATACGGCTTGTTGCTATTACTTACTCTTATTAAGATCTATATGTCGTTCACCTAACAGGGTATCGTATAGAGTTGTAGCTTTAGTTAACAAGGTCTTTGCCTCATGCATCATCTCTCTTTACGGAACTGGAAAATTTCTAATATGATAACTTGTTGATATGATATAATACTTATTAGACATATAAAATCAACCATAATGTCGAATGCATGAAATTCTAAATGCTATAAATTAGAAAAGTAACGTGTGGTAATAAAACTTGTTATTATCCGTATGACATGATTTCAATGTAGATGTATTATTCATATAAGGCATTATACTCCATTGATCCATTTTGCATTTACGTTCTTTTCCCGAACATGGATATTCTGGACCATTTAGAAAAGGGCTTGCACCAATCTGATTCTGCGTAATTTTAAACTTGCCAATAAACATTAGAAAATTTAGAACGTGTACAAGTCGTAGTCAATACTTTTTTTTTAATCAATTATTCCGCCTTAATAGCATATAAACAAAAGAGCTATCTGAAGAGCCCTTTTTTACAGAATCCTGATCTCAATTAAATTGGGGTGAATTTGATTGCCAGCTTCGAATGAGGTAAGATGGATGGTCTAAAAATGCTAAGTTGATTTGTTGCAATCCGTAACCGGCTGCTGCTTTGCAAAAAAAGATTATTGCATTAAGTAATGGGCCAGCGAGTCTGTCGCTACGTTGCGATCGCCGATCGTGTAACGTCGAATAGACGTGTGAATGTGGCACAAGGTAAGTGAAAGTGTTAAATATTGAGTTAGGTGTTTATTAAAAAGGTCTTTATTTTCTATCTTCTCTCGATACATTTTCTCTCTTTTTATATACATACATGTATAAGAAAAATCACAAAAATATTTTAAGTCTTAATTATATTCTAATTGGATAAGAACATTATGTGCCTTTATTATATGATTTTTTTTTTTTACATTATATGCTTTGCATATTTGACAGCAAAAACAATACATTGTTTTTTGTTTTTTGCAATATAAACTGTATATGCAATGTGTAAAGAAAAAAACAACAAAAATTTTTACTTTAAATATTTATTTATAAATTAATAAATATAAATTTGAATAAAAAATAAATATTACAAAATTATATTTTTAAAAAATACAATATATTTGAAAAAAAATTAAATTTTTATACTAATTTATTGTCAAAAATTTTTTTTTATTTACTTTTTACATTAAAAATATCATATAATTAAATGAAAAATTTTTATCAATAATATTTTTTTTATAAAAAAATATTTTAATATGCTGTATATATATTATTATAAAATAAATAAAATTTATTTGACATTTTCTGATTACATTATATATTATAAGATATCAAAAAAAAAATTATATTAAAGATTTATTTTATAAATAATTATGTTTAAACCAATATATAATTACAAGAAAACTTGTTTTTTATATTGAAAAATTTTTTTCAAGATTTTATTTTATCAAATTATGATTTGTTAAATTATAAATAAAATATAAATATATATATATTTTTTTTTGAAATAAATAAATAATAAATCTATAAATCTAGAATACAATAACAATAAGTAATAATTTTATATTATCAAATATACAGTATATCTTTAATATAATATTTATAAAGAACAAATATATAAACAAATATTATATATATATATATTAATTAATTTATTATTATTATTTTTTTTGGGAGGTTTCCCCTCATAGGTAAGTATCATTTCTTTATTTGATATTGTATATAACATGATATACATCGTGAAAGAAACAATATCTCTTACATACATATATAGCAAGTTAAATGCTAGCCTGCCTACGCGAACATATCTAACTAATATTGAAAAAGAAATTCAAAACAATACTATATACTAGCTGTGCCTGAATAGCAGCTATGCCTATCTACTCAGG